CGCACAGACGGAAGATGGCAATGCAACTCAACGCTGCTATTCTTGTTACCAACAGAGAGGCTGTGCTGCTATCACATCACTACACATCACACAGTAACCGTGTCACCAGCAGCTCTGCCACTCACAAACAGGAATTGCTGGCCCTCTCCACTCCCATGGGTCTTTGGATGAGTACTGTACCACGTCATACAAGTAGCTCCATGAACAAAACTCAAAGACGTGATGTCACGGGGACTGCAGGCATCCACTGCATCCTGCTCTGTTTTGCTATGGTTAAGAATTTAACCTGCACATGACTATTTCAACAAACAGAAGCAGTACCATAAAACCAACAGCTTTAGTGTTACCTAATCTACAGAACTGTGACAAAACTCCTCTCCTGGCACCAACATGAATAAAGCAAGAGTGAACGATGGAAGAAATTGTCCGTTGTGGAATAGCTGGACAAGGGAAAATACAATAATCTCATCAATTTTTAAAAAGCAGACGTTTCATTTTAAAGCACTTTTGTGCCTGAGCATGTCTGTGACCAGCAATGAAAAACCAACACCGGGTATCAGATCTTATTCAAATTTCATTCACAAAACAGCTGCAGAAACGCAAACTTCCCTGGGCAGGCAGGGCTGCCACATGGAGGGGTTGGGGAAAGCAGGCGTGCAGCCTGGCTGGGTCTTTGGCTGCACCAGAGGCTCTCACTGCTAACACTGCAGTGAATGACTTCCTCCTGTTGGGAAACAAGCTTCCATCCAGCAACTGCATCACATATGCCGCAGAACTGCTCGACTGGGGGAAATCATCCCTGAGGAGGAGATGGCACCACTCACACACCTATTTTTAAGGCTTTTGTGGAAACTCAAGTGCACAGCCTGATGCTAACCTTCTCCAAAAGGATAAACCTCACCTTTGGAGCAGAGAAACTCAATATCCTTGCATATTCACAGGGCAGGGTATAGGACATGACCTGGTAACGTAGGACAGATCAGTCCCTAGGCATAGCACAAAGGGCTTGTCTCGCTTTAAAGATCATTATTAACTATATTTTACATATGGCATAGTCAATACATCCTGCAAAAGGGATGGGGAGGAAAGAATTAATTCACGAAATAATATTTCTACATGTCAAAGCTCAAATGCATATAGGGAAAGAGATATGGACCACTCGGTCACTTCTTCAACTATGAAAGCTGAGTGCCAGAAAAGAAACTTAAGATTTTGTGCTTTAAAAGCCAGTGATTGCAATTTAAAACCATCTGGCAAGATTTTAAACAGCTGGAAAAAAAATACTTTGCTCAAACAGAATTTTTAAATTCTCTATTTAAAAAAGAAAGAAAAAGTTGATTGTATATGCAACGCAAAGGAAGAAAATGCTGATGTTCCAACAGTGGGGCAGCAGAAAGTGCAAGGGGAGCTGAACTGCCATTCCATCCATGTGAGCCACACTGAGCACTAAGAGATGTAAGCAGCTTGTGAAATCAGGTTCCCCCACCTAAGAACCAACTTCTCTCTTCCTCCCGTGTTTCTGATAGTCCTCAAGGAGCACTCACAGCACAGGGCTCAGCCACACAGCGGCTCCAAGACAGGAAACATTCTAGGATATGACACTGATGAAGAAGTAAGAAGAGAGCGCTTAAGATTTGTATTAGAAAGACACAAATGAAGCAAAAATAGTGCCTTCCATCTGCACACAACAAATCCCTAAGCGAGAGTACTGCTGTCTTTGCACCCTGGCTAAAGGCACTGCTCCGGCGCACTGCAGCGTTTTGGAGTTGGACTCGATGATCCCTGGGGGTCCCTTCCAACTCAGGATATTCCACGACTCTATGATTTCAGTTTAAATAAACTGGTTTGGATTTAAGTGCAAAGAAATGTTCAAAACCAAGTAATTCTTATTACTTTGTCAGGTTTCCCTCAGCCCTATTTTACGTAAATGTATCACCTCTATAGTTGGAGCTACCACCAGAACGATGCTCTTGTTAGCTCTCTATTTCTCCTATTAAACAACTGAAAAACAGCCACTCTTCAGTAATTGGACAGAGAATATTGCATAGAATTCTGCCATGTTCATTAACCCCCTTCTCTTCACCATTCCCATATGAACAAGTTAGATAGAAACAATGCAAGGATCTTTCACCTCATGAGAAAGGCACATGTATTTTCTTCTCTTTAACTGTACGATAAGATTTTCTTATTACAACAAGGAGTTCTTACTAAAGGATTCACTAATTCACAGTATGGACAGAGTGCACTGATAGAGCTTCCTTTAAGGAGTGGCTCTACTAGTAGACATTTTACAGATGAATAAATAAAATGGTCATATTTTACAGCATCAACAGCAACTTTAATTAGAGATATTTCTGCCAATTATAGCCTGAAATCTGTATCCTCAAAGCCAGAAGCATACTGACAATCCCATGCACGACCCCTCTCCAAGGGATACTCTTTCCTAGCTTTCATCTAAACAAAGTATTGGACCTTCCTCCTTCCCCAGCCATCCAGAGAGAAAAACAAGTTTTTGCTGCAATGGAAAGCTACTTTTTGTTACAAGAGCCCGGGCCCTTCACCACAGTTTTGTAACAACATGGAATTGGAAACAGAAAGAGAAAATAAAAATATTTTTAAAGAACCCCAAGATAAAACCAGACTCTGGGGTTACAGGTTTCCTGCAGTCTGTGCTTTCATCCACTGGATAAGAAACGTGGGCAGTGAAAGCCCCGTCCCCAGGCTCCATGCTCTACAGAGCCATGGGACAGCCCCCACCCCATGTCCCTAAGCGCCACCTCTCGCCTTCCCATGACTGAAGAGTACAAAAAGCCCCAGTGCTACTCTTTGGCATGTCCTCTCTTACAGCTTTTTTATGCTCTTCTGTTCATCAAGTGAAAAAACGACCCCAGTATACGTTTTCCTAGAAGCGTTACCTTCAAATGCCACACTAGATCAGAAATACAACCAACACCTTTCAGTGCTGCTGAAGTTTAGTCTCCAAACCAGGGAGGTCTCGGACTGTTTGGAAAGCCAGTAGGTGACTCATCTCCAACAAGAGAATCTCAGCAGTAGTTCAAGCTAATCCATTTTACTTTCCGCCGGAACAGAAAAGCAGCTGCAATCTTGGCTAAAAACAAGGAACCAAAAGCTGGGCACATCACTTCTGCTCTATGAGCTCGGCCGGACGGTGTGGGTCTGCCGTGCCCCTACACAACGTGGTCACAGAGGGACCGGAGTGATGCCCGGCCAGGGCGCCCCCAGAGCATCTCAGCAGGCAAATCCACATTCATTGCAGATCATTACATACGAAACAACAAAAGGAGCTAAGTCATTAATAAAGTGCCAAAAATATCGGAAATACTGACAGCATTTTTATTTGATTAATTTTTTAATAGATACCAGTGACAACCCTTGGCAGGATGGAGTGACTTCTGACTTACGAATGCTGTCTTTATCCAGCAAAATTACATGATTCAAATGTAATAATGGAGCTCAGAATTAACAGTTAGTGTTATAAAAGAAACATTTCCTCTAGGGCAAGCTACAGATATGCTTTTAAAAAACCATTATAGCATTAAAAACCGGGCAGACACTAAAGAACCCTAAAGAACTAGTGGGAGTCTGAAAAGCAACCAAAAAACGAACAGGAGAAGAAAAGATACAAGTTTCAAGGCACTTACGTATTGCTTATTAAGAAGAGAGATTGACCTTAAATGCTGCATTTGTGTTCAACCTGTGAATACAGTTCTGCTGTCGGATGATGCAGCAAGAGCTCTCAGTAAGCATTATGGAATGCAATTATAGAGACACAGGCACAAGAACAGTTAGGGGAATATTAATTTAAAAAAAAAAAATAATCAAACAGAACAAAACCCTCCCTATCGAGAAAGCCGAGAGTAACCGCTTGGCTGCATCAAGCACCTGGATCTCCAATCAGCAGACAAGGACAGCAGAACCAGACTGGCAAACGGATTGCCCAGAATTAATTAAAAAACCCAACCTGAACCAAACAACAACAATAATAATAATTAAAAAAAAAAGAACATAAGAAAATATCTGTGTCTTCTTGTCAGAAGCTTTGCTCCGTGGCTGAAGACACACCTTGTTGTGACTCGTATTAAGGTATGTGTACTTTTACCAGGACGTGCGTTTACAGACGGAGCTGTGCTTTGTAAGTCAAACCTGGACAGATACAGAGAGGTACTGCTCTGCTTCACCACGCTCTTTCGCTTGCTGGCCTTTCCTGTGGGCTAACTGCGCTCAGATAAGAAGCTGGAATCGCTCCCAGCGCTGTCACTGCCGGTGTCTGCTATCACAAACCATCTCCTCAGCTCATCACAGAAAGGGGCAGTTGCTCTCTCTGTTCCTCAGTTTGAGTTCTGCATCACAAGTCCCCAGCTACCCGAGGAGGTATCCTGAAACAGCTAGCAGTAGAAATAGGAAACGAGTCCCTGCCTTTCAGCCTCCTAGAGCCTTCTTTCCTCAATCATGAAAAGGATTGGTTTTAGTGTACTGATTCTCAATTTGTGACACTTGCACTACGTGCTGCTGTTGCATGTTAAGAGACTGTAAATGAAATACATACGTTCTAAAACATCATGCAAGAAATGTGGTTTCACATCTTACAGTCAAAAATCCTACTAATGAATTAATACAAGCACACTGAGGTGTAATATTGGGAACATACCTTTAAAGTCGGAACTCCTCTCCCCGTCCCTCCCTCCCCCAAAATCAGAAAAGTAATATTAATTAAACTTAAGAAGTAATGAATGCACCATTAAAGTGTCATCAAAAAGATGCTGACCTAAGACAAAAGTTCAATGATACACAATACGGTCAAAAAGTCTTCAATCAATAATATACAGTATGACAACTACATCTTGTAAATTATACCCAATACTGCCGGCAGTCTATCCCTCTAAAGAATATTTGCCCCCTTTCATCCCTTCCTAACAATCAGATAATAAAATACAGCACCTATAAATAAGCAAAAAAAAATTATATATATATATATTTATATATATATATATATTCCGAAATCATCTATTGTTAGTTTTAAAGATATGGCAATAAAGGAGTCTAAATTAGCAAACTTGTAGAAGCCATAACTGATAAAACAGCTTATTGAAAAAAGGTGGCAGTAATGCACTCTATGTGTGCACAAGTACGTAAGAAAATACACAGACGTATAAAATTGCACGCACACACTCACGCACACACATCCTTCCACGCACCTCTATGCTCACGCATATACATATAGACAACAGGAGGAGTTAGAGACAAGTTAGAATTTGATTTGTACTTTGATCAGCCCTAACCTGTGCATAAAATAATGGCGAAAGGCTGCATTTCTGTGGGGCAGAACGGGTGAGACCGGGACTGGAGAGCATCAACATTTTGGTTTGGAGTTTGGGCTCCTTCGGCCCTGCTAAGAGCCTGTCTGGTCATTGCCATGTACTATTCCTCCACGTAAAAACAAGCTTCCCACAACTAAAACGTATTTAAAATCAGTGCTTGCGGTGGGAAGAGAGTCAGTAAATGGCCACCTACAGCAGGAAAACTTCTCCATCTGAGGCAGCTCCCGTCCCCTTAGTGGTGTGACAGCAGTCGTACACATGAACTACGCTTCCCTCGGTTCCAGGTAAGGTGAAATCTCGGGGCACGGAGCGTGTCCCCGAAGAAGCAGGCTGAAATGTTACTGGCCAACGTTTTTTGAGCAATCTGACTTGGCTGAAAGGAAATCCTGTACGCTACGACCCAAGTGAAATGATCAAGTACATGCTGTTTCTAAGTTGTCTCCCAAACCTCCCAGATATGAGGTCTGATCAGCGTGCTCTGTGGTTAGAGGTTAAAAAGCAGATTATAAAATACCTAGATTCAGATTTTTTTTTTTTTGTCCTGATTTGGCCTAAAATGGAGTGTATTAAACAAATTCTGGTCTGCAAAAGACCAGAATCAGTTAAAGCTATGAAACAATGTGCACTACGTGTCAATATTCTATTTCACTTACAAGAAAACACTAAGTCAGCTACCACAAATTAAGATATTTTCCTGATGTGACTTTTTTTTTTTTGTTTTGTTAAAAAATATGTGGAGTAAATGTGTTTTTTCTTTTTAATTCAAAGTTTCAAACAACAAGATTCTTTTCTTTTCTTGAAAATACGTAGGAATCCAAACTAGTGTGTTTAGAGTCGGTTGACTGTGCAATCTCTTAGTGGCAACTGAACAGCTACAAAAAACTTTCTTTTTTTTTTCTTTTTTTTTTTGAAAAATCTCCCCTTTTTTCCTGGTTTAAGAAGATAATAGTGTATTATCGCTCTGTAGCCATTAGATGGCAGATAAAAAGCCCCCTTTTAATACGTGGGTTCGATTTTTTTTTTTTTTAAAACGTTTTTTTTCTTTTTTTTCTTTTTTTTTTTTTTAAAGCCCACACCAAAGAGGAGGGCACAAGGCAAAGCTGTATGAGTTATTCCAGAAACCGTGGAAATCACTTAGGGCAATAATAAAAACACTTCAGGGTACAAAAAAGCTCGACTACACATTTCAGTTTTCTTCCTCGAAAACACAAACATAAATTGGGCTTAACGCTCCTTTTGTTTTCTATATGCACCTTGGCCTATGGCGTTTTTGCCCTGTGGCCCGCAGGGCGGATAAGTGCGCAACACAATAAAACCAGTAGAGGTCCAGTTTCACTTCCCAGCTCTCCAGAGTTGGGCGAGTTTTAATCTCAAAACTCCCACTCGGCAGCCTCCTCCCGGCTGGCGGCCTTCTCCAAGCGGTGGATTATGTTGTTCAAGTTTGCGGCTTTCTTTTTCCTCAAGGAGCTGTCTCGTGTGTTCCTGGAGCTCGCTGCCTCGGAGAAGCTGAACAAGCTCTGCAGAGAGTTGGCTTTCTGCGAGCCTGCGCCCGGCGTCGAGCTCGTACTTGGCACGCTGGAGCTTTTCTCTGAACTTTCCTTTGACTTGTAGGAGCTCTCCCCTGTAAGGACTGAGGTGGAGGCAGCTGAGGTAGAGGCATCCCCTTCCGTGGCGGAGCTGGGCGGCGTCTCCGGAGCTTCTCCCGCGTGCTGACACCTGGCCGGAGAGCCCTGGCGCGGCGCTCTGGGCCTGCCCTCGTCGTCGGTGTCCTCCAGGCCCTCGGCCGCCATGAGCAGCGGCTCCGCTCGCTCCGTGGGCCGGGCGCCCGGCGCTGCCTCTTCCCCCGCCTCCAGAGCCGACTCCGCTTGCCCTCCCTGAGACTTTGTGGTTGCATTGCTGTACTCGTCCGCCTCCGCACCGCTCGGCTTTCCTTCAGGTGGGCCCTCCGCGTCCACGCCGTCGCAGCTGTCTCCCTCCGAGCTGTGGGCCGCTCTGCTGCTTCGTGCCGAAGGAGAATCGCTCGACCCGGCCTGGCTCTGGCTTCCCGCTTGGATCTCCTCGATGAACAGCTCCCGGCGGATGCGAGACCTGGGGGGACAGACGAAAGGGGCGGTGAGTGCTGCCACGCGGCAGGCTCCTTCGTGGGGAGCCGACGGCAGAAACTGGTCTGCGTCGGCTGCGGGACAGCTGGGCGGTGGGAGGGCCCGCACACTCAAATTCGAAGGACTGGCGAAATTGGGAAAAATGTGAAATACTGTCAGGATGTTCTTAATTTCATTCATCCCCGGCCACACACCCGCTTCTAAGCCTGCTGTGCAAGGAGGGAGCCAGGCTGCAACATGCAGCTCCCGCAAAGCGCAGCAGGAGGGAGGTTGGTGGAACCCACAGCTTTCAGCACAGCAGCACTGCAGGTAACCTCAGTGCTTGGTCACCAAGAACGACCCGTACGCCATCAGGGAATCACTGAGTTGGAAGGGACCTCTGTGGATCACCTGGCCTGACCTCCTGCACTGCACAGGGACACCCCCAGCTCGTGCTCAGAGCACCATCCAGCCCCACCTTGACTCCAACCACCCCATTTATTTCACCAACCATCCCTTCTAATAGCCACGGCAGGCACTGCGGAACAAAGCAAAAATGTACCATTTTATGTGGATGATAATCAATTGGTAATAATATGATTGGTGAAAAACAACCTAAATTTTTTTTCTTTGTGATTTTAAATCAAGTAACATTCATAATTTCATGCTGTATTTTTACAGTGCTGGATGCAGTTTCATGGACAGAGATGAAAGGCTCTGCAGTTTCCCATTCTCACTGGAAGTCTGACATCAGGAACATGAACATTTACAATACGCCTGACCACAAAAGGGATGATTTTAAAACTATGAATATGTTTCTAGTAGATCCAGAGGAAAATAGCTTATAAATACAAAAGAATTCAGACTTCTCTAAAAATGAGACACGATTTGTTTAAACATAAAAGTAATGAGGAAAAAATTGGGGGAAAAACAGCCACCAAGGAGAAAGCAAGATGAAAGTCCGTTGTTCCGAAATCCCTCCGGGGAAGCACAGCCTTGTGACAGGTTGTCAGTCTAAAAGCTAGTCTGACTTCTGTCTTATTTTTTATTCAAAAAATCGATTTCAGAACATGAATAGTGACAAGGCAAGCAGTGCATTTCAAGGGAATTAATGCACTCCACATGTGGCTAAAACTGCCTGGTGTTCCACCCTGTGCATCCTGTTACTGGCAGCATGTAATAATCCCCCAAACGCTGCCTAGGCCACCAGCAGGAAAGCTTACAACCACTGGTCAGGTCCCAGTTTGCAACCAAGAGGGAACCTCCATGACCTGTGATAAGAGATGAGAGCACAGACCAGCAGAACTTTATCTTTCACTTCTGGTTTACACCAGGAAGGACTGCTAAGGGTCCTGGCAAATCACAAGTGAAACAATGCCCCACAGATGGCTGTAAGAATTTCCAGTTTATTGCTCATCTTGCCACCAAAGGCAGCACACGATGGAAAGAAAACTGCAAAGAATGCAAACACCAACTGAATACTGCTTTTGAAGCTAACGATATTATTGACTTACTTGAAATGCAAGAGAGTATTTCAGCAGTACTTGCTGACTCCACACTTCTGAAGGATTTAGAGGGTCTGTAATTTTCCCTAAGAGAGTATTTTTCACTTAACAGAAGACCACAAGTGCTAGCATTAATTTTCTATTACCATCAGTTGCATGCATTCTGGAACATCAATTCTCAGGTGCTCTTCACACCTATAACCTCCCTGCATGGACAGAGATACAGAACATGCTGCATCTGTGACATTCCCCAAGTCAGAAGAGGAAACAGTAAGAGCTTCCTGCCTGCATAGCTTTTAAAATACCTCAGCTCCAGCAAGACAGAGAATGATGACATGCTCACTGAATACCTGACCACAATCCTATAGAACACAGGCTCAAAGTCTGTGGAGTTCACATCCAATGCATTGCTTCTGGAATCTCATCTGGCTCCAGATTAACTTAGTATTAAATCCCTATGGTGCTGTCCTTGACAACAACACATCCCGCTGGCATTCATCAGCGTAACTCAAAAATCAGAGTTCTCTGTGCCACTATCCCCATGTGAAGATGGATAGCAATTCCTACTTCCTGATTTCTTATGCAGTTCCTAAGACAATGGAGCATCAGACTGATGTGGACTTACAGGACTTCACTAATGCAAGTCTTAATTCAAGGTATATTCTTATTTTTGTTGTTCCCTGAGCTCTGCAGCTGGTATAGATGCAAAGCAAAAGTCTGGGACGAGGTTGCAAACACAGCAAAATCCCTTATACCTATTTGTTTATATTCTGAAGTGAATCACTTCTCTACCTGCTGAGGACTTTGAAGTTTCTTCTACCGTGGCAAATAAATTCTACTGCTGACCTCCCACCTGGTAGGCAAAATGCCAGATTCTGTTGTAGCAGCCATCTCTGGAAAGCAAGTGTTGAGCTGAATCCCAAAGGAAGCATCACTGCAACCACATTCCCAAGAGAGAGCAAGACTAGTCTCCTAATCCGTCCCTCCCTAGGAAAAGGTTCTTTAAGGAAAAACTGATGTTACAGAACAGCTAGATGGTCCGAGGCATGGAACTGCTTCTGGATGAAGGCTTTCAGTGTAAAAAGAAGAGGGAGGAGAATAAAGGAGATAAACAAAATGGTGTGGCCTGAAGAAGATGAAAAGTCTCTCAGTTAGTTGTAACACATGAGCTGCAGAACAGGAAGACTCTGTTCCCTAGGAGAACTCCTAAATTGTATTTTTCGGTGACGTCCTGCAAATGTTTTAAGAGTACTTCATGCATGAAAGCTAAGAAAGTTACTGTCTAAGGAATGGAACAGGCACATGATTTGATTTTCAGTGCTGCTCCAGCAGCTCGCAGCTTCTCTTTAAAGTCCTACAGACTCAGCAGCAGCACATCTGGGAACAGGTCCAGACCACTCCGTGCTGTGAGGCTCGTGCTACCCACCGGCTTACAGCACCTTGTTTATGCATTTTTCTTTTGTATACAACTGTCAGCACCTAGTCTACATCGATGTATGGCTTGGTGTGGCCAAACACGCTGATCAATCATGACTTGTCACGCTTTCTCACAGCACGCCTGAACAGGAGATCTGATGATAATGAGGAAGATGACACATGCCACCAGTGCTCCCGCACTCGTCTGCCTAAGTGAGAACAGCACATTTTGCTGTCAGGCCGAAGGGAACATATTTTCATAGGCATTCCTCCAACTTGTGTATAATTGCCTAGAAGTGGGAACTGGAATAGAGGCCTGTATTTGGAGAACTGAGCAGTGAAAGAGGCTGCATCTGTAGCGAATTCAAGTCAATGAAATTCAGTGTAAATATGATTACTGGCTGGTTATAATTTTTAAATTTTATATTGTTTACTATAAACATTATTTTACTATTGTACATAATATTTCTGAGATATCTCATTAAACTGTGCTTCTTCTGCTTCAGCAACTTGCCTGTGAAAAGCTGAGAAGGGCTAAAGTGGAAAATACCCTTTAAATGTTAGCAGTTTTCTAAAAACAAACAAGTTTAGCAAGCCGCTGTTAGAATAATTAGGAACATTACTGGCTCCGAGTGAAGGAGCAGAATGGCATTAAATCTGGTGTCTTAACTGTACCTGTTTAATATTCATTAGAACAAATTTCTTGGAGAAAAGTCTGCTGAACTAATTAAGATTCCCAATCCTAAACACAGCTGAAAATATGTTTATCCAAATCCTTCTAATTCTTACATGCCATTCCAGCATTGTTTCTTTTTAATGGAGTCTCTAGGCCAAAACCTACTTAAATTGTCCAAATGTTGAGAACGTTCCCTTTAATAAGAGGAAGAAACTGAACAGACCAACATCAAACTTCATCTCGATGGGACTCAATGATTTGATCATAATAATGAAATAAGTCTGTGGCAACATGTGACTTCATATTATCAGTTCTCTGTCCTTTGTGACTGCAGAGCTTCCAGCACGTATCATGCCTATTTTTTGAGCTCACTGACCCAAGACATAGAAGAAAACCTATTTTTTGCTCTTGTTCTGCAAAGATGTATGATGAAAGCACTGTAATTCTGATGCCATCCAGTAGAGGACACTTCTAAGCAATCCCCACCAAGGTATAAAATGCACAACACACACCTCTATGTAGATACATGTGAGCTTGTCTGTGTGTATGCATATGCAAGTAAAGAAGACAGTCTTGCTTACTGCAATGGGCTTTATAAATATTCAGCACAGCAGTGGACATCTCTAGATCAATGCCCATCCCAAAAGCAAGACTTTCTGTCTAAAAGCTCTGCTTACATCAGTATGTGAAGATTGCTCATCCTCAGGGATGACTTAAAATTAGGCTGAAGCATTGGCACTGCAGTTAGTCAGAACCTCCCCGCTGTCGAAACCGTTCACTTTGTACAACCACTAAATGCTAGCAGAAGCAGACACAACGTGCTGAAGGAAAGCAGCACCCTGCCAAAGGAAATAAAATAAATCCCTTAAGAGGGGGAGATCTCCTACCTGTAATTGTGGAACCAGTTGATCACGGTGCTGGTTTTCAAGTTGAGCTGCGTAGCCAGTTCCTCAATGGTTTTTGGTGATGGGTATGGCTTTTGCTGGTAGGCTCGTTTCAGAGCTTCCTTCTCTTCTGGTGCCAGCACCACCCGGGGCTTCTTCAGCTGGTGCTGTGGCTGCGGGCTGGCACCCTGGCTGTAGTCGATTCCAGTGGAGGAGGACTCACATGACTGACTGTCGCTCACGGAGCTGTGTCGCCGTTTCATGTAGGCTGAAAGAGAGGCACATGGGATCAGCCCCGGCTGAATACAAATGCAAAATCAATGAATATACAAGCTGCGGGATAAATGCGGAGGTGACAGGCTGAGGCTGCACGGATGGGCTGTGCGGGGGGAACGGGAGGGAAGCAATTGTGGGGAAGATGCAAGAGACAGAAAAAGAAGATAGAAGGGAAAGAAAAGAGGGTGAATCGACTGGAAACCTGCCTGAGTTTCCTGCTCTTTCAGTGGATAGGGAACATGAGTAACAGTGGTCAGATACCAGGATGTGCTTTAAATTCACAATTTCAGGGGTGATGAACTTCCACATAAGCACCATCATAGGACAGTTACTAAGAGCCTAAATGGCTCTGGCTGTTAAACACGAGGGTGTCTCTAACACTTCAGGTCTCTCAGTCAGCACGGTGGGAGCTGGAGGCAGCCAGAGCTCCATCTCCAACACACGATGGCGCCCGGAGCCCGGGCATCCCAGCGAGGGGCTGCGCACCCACCCGGCGTTTGCTGCTTTCTCTTCCACATTTTTGCTAGAGCACTGACAGGTTATGAAAGGAAAACAGCCCACAGCATCCTCCTCCCCTATACAAGGCTCTTTTAAAGATGCCTGTACTTGTAATAACTCTCGCTGCGCTGCTGCAGCTCCGGGGCTGTGAGCCACCGCCAACTCCTCCCCAACAGGGACTGAATTATCCTGAAAAATCCTGCAAGGAGAGTCCCAGCAAATGCTGTCACCGTCTTGATGGATTTACACTGGGCAAAGGCAGGTGGGATTTACTGTACCTGGTAGCACCATGCACAAGCATTGCTAATGAGGGAGTTGAAAACTGCAAGTATAGATGAATCTTGTGAATAAAATATTTAATGCTCTGTTAAATACCTTCTAGATATTTAAGAGTTTAGGTATTCAAGAGCTGCAATTTGATAACCTTGCTTATTCTGTTCCAGCTTACAGCAGCCTGACATCAATCAGGCAGGCAGTAAATCTCCAGTAGGCAGCAGCTCTGATTGGAGCCAGGGAGCAATGCAGGGCAGGTCACACTGGCCAGAAACCAAATTATTCAAAAGAAAAAAAATTCTTTCTCTGCATAGCTCTGCCTTTAGACTGAGGGTGCACAAAGAAGAAAAATCCAATGCAATCAAACCAACTGAAATGCTGAGAGCCTTTCTCACACACGCCAATCCTAAAGGTCTGGCGAGGTCTTCTGCCTCCAGTGGGTACCACCATCCTGTCCTCTACATAGAGCTGTGTCCATCGGGACCTTTTTACACAGTTCTTACTTTTGTTGAAGTGAATTTTGAATGTGCTCTGTAACCTTTGGGGCTATCTGCATGGCCCTCATTTTGTTCTTTCTGAATATGACAGATTACCTGTGGATTGCCTACTGTGTAAGATCACTGATACGGAACAGAGCGTGAGTAGCTCATGATCCATCACTCTGCCATGATGCAGTGCTGCGTGTGCTTGAAATAACTATTAAAAAAAAAAGTTTTGGTTTCCTTTTTTATTATTATTTTTCAACAAACTTCATAAAAAATCACCTACTTCAGTTCCACTCACTGGGAAGTGATTACAGGTACACTTCATGCCTTCGATTTCAAAGACTCCCAGATGTTGTTCCAACTTTGTATTGATATGCAAACTATATACAAGGTTCCCTTGTCTACTTTGACAACACAACCAAAAGAGCCTCTACCCCTTTGGCAATGTGCAGCAACTTAAAGGAAGCCATGAGACAAAACAGACCCTGTTGCAGAAGATGTCAGAAGTGTGCAGGCTATCTCCAGCTGGAGGTGCTGGAATTTGGTCAGGTGGTGGTTCTGCATCTCTCCCTGCTCCTACCTTTGTGCTCATAATCTCACTACAGGTGCAAAGATTTATTTGGGTTTCTTGTGTGAATGGAACCAATTTTTACAAATGTACGTATTTCATAGAATCATAGAATAGCCTGGGTTGAAAAGGATCACAATGATCATCTAGTTTCAACCCCCTGCCACGGACAGAACTGCCAACCACCAGACCAGGCTGCCCAGAACCTCTAACATAAAAACAAAGAAAAGGAAGTCCCACCGTTAGGACATAACCATTTCTGGAGAACAAAATATTATTAGAACAAACAGAATCGCAGAATCATTAAGGTTGGAAAAGACCTGTAAGATCATCAAGTCCAACCCCAACCCAGCCCACGATGCCCACTGACCACATCCCTCAGTGCCACATCTCCAATGGTCTTGAACACCTCCAGGGTCTTCCACTGGGCCAAAGGCACAACCCTGGCACGAGGCCACATGCTGAACTAGTACTTAGGTTTTAGGTTTTAGCTGAGTTCTCTGGAAACTTTATAACAGCTTTTCCTTTTTAGTTCTGATTTTAAATGTCTGCGTTGCGTGTAGCCAACATCAGGAGATCACTGAGCACATTTCCAGCAAACAGTGAGGCTCAAGCTGCAATCCAAACTGCAAACACACCTGATGTTTGGAGACATTTGATTTTTGTGTGCGATTGGTCTCCACTTCTCAGGAGACCAAAGGAAAAAAACCACACATGTAATTTGTGCAAAGGTCTAGATGCGAGTCTGAGACCAACCTGTCAGGGCCAGCTCCATCTGCTGAGTTTTACTACCTCTATCTTCCCCCTGCTGTTGCCAGCCCAGCATCCCTGTGTTCCTATGGGCAGACTCCCCAGCATGTGCTCAGTTTCAGATGAAGCAGAGCTAGCAGCTGCCCACTGAGGTAAAACAGAGCCCCTTTTAATATAATTTTTATCTTATGCAGTATTGAACAAGATTATTAAAAAGTGAAATAATGGGGAAATAAAGGGAATTAAATTTTCTCCTGACAGCAGGCTTCAGTACTGTTCAGTGAGGAGTGTGACGTTACCAGCAGCACACACACCAGGAGGTTGGAAGGAAGGGAATGAACTCCTCCTTGGCAGAAAACAGTGCAGAGTGTCTCAGCCTAGTGAGCGTGACCCCCAGCTTCCTCCATGAGGTTGCTTAATGTACATTGCAAAGCTTCAGAATCTCTTACAAGGGGCATTTATGGCACAAATGTCAGACTGACAGAACAGGAGGAAAAAAAGAGAGATGTGCAGCTCAGCTTTATCATAATTATCAATCTAGTCTCCTAATAAACTGTGGAAGAGAAATAACTGATAATAATGTTCTACTGGTGGTAGATACAGTTGCATTGTTCTTTAATTGACATTAGCTTAAGGGGAAGTTAAATTCTTAATGTGGCTCTGGTGCAATTTGAAAGGTTATATAGCAGGATCCTTTACCTGCAAGAAAGGATTTTGCAGAAAATAAAGGGCTGAATTCACTGCAGAGTGCTCTGCAATGAGACCAACACTGACACAGTTCAGGAGCTCAGCACAGAGACTAAGATGATTTATAGCCCTATCTCTATTCAGGTGCCATCTACACAGCATATGTATTGCACAGCATTTGATAAGAATCCACTTTAGAAAACAGTTCTGAAAGGATATTGTCAGTACTACTTTCAAATTATTTTTATTTTATTTTCCTGCGTTACGGCCGAAATCCTCTTTGAGGCTATAAAAATCAACCCAGTTGACAATTTTATCTCTGCTGTATTTCTGATGCAGCAAAAACCATCATGGCTCCCTCTGCTTTACAACCGGAAGTGGGAAACCCCTCTGGATCACTCTCCCAGTGGCAGATTACACACAGTTTGAGGTGAGATCCTGCCCTGCGTGTATCATCCTGGTTTCTGTCACGAGGATTTGAATTTCTTCCTAGAAGCACGCAAGGTCACTTTTTCCCAGAACCTCCTTCACTGTAATTTTTAATATAATCCCAAAGTTCTTGATCAAACGTGTTAATGTTTTCAGGACATCAGTCAACAGCAGTGCTTTCAGTGCACACGATTAATGCTGTCTGAGCTAATATCATTAAGGGATACCTTGAGAGATGGATACATCATTAATCAGTTAACTGCTGGTAATGGCAGCCTATGAGCTCCTCTTTTAAAATCACATGTATGTACTAACACCAGGCTCTGAATAACTGCTGTTTTCTAGTAATGAATTTAAGATACACAGAGTAGGCTGAGATTAGTAAGATACGCTCCTCGTAAGAGACCAAAATAAGTTAATCTCTCACAGGTGCATGCTCATGACACAGCCGCTTTACACCAACGTGTCTGAGCACTGTCACCTTCCCCATCCCTTTGAGGGCTACAGATCTTATTATTCTCAAACACCCTTTCATAAGTGCTGCATTTTTTTATCCTCTTAGTGGCCATCCATGCAGGACTGGCATGAAGCTCTCTCAGGAATCAAAGCATGGTTTTCAGTGCAACATCTGTGAGCAGCTGCAGTGCCATTAACTAACAACCCAAAGCCAGCTCCCCAACTCACATTTCTCATTTGCTAAGGCAAGTTATCAGTGATACACTAGGGCCTCGGTAATTAATCTATAGGAGAATACAGCAATGAATTCATGACAGCTGGTGAATACTTAGGGTTGCTTTTTTTTTTTGTTGTTTGTTTCTGAGATGTATCTGCTTGAGCTCACATCAATAAAGCTAAGAAAAAGCTGTCTGAGCACCCTTCGTAATGCTGGATCAATGTTGCCTCTATACTCTTTATGGAGAATTATACAACACAGTCATCTCTGAAACAAAGGAGAGCATGACTCAGCATTCTGCTCCACGTTACCTTTTTTCTCCATTCGTTTCATATCCATCAGCTTCTCCACGTTGTTGGGATCGTTCAGCCACAGCTGCATGCGGACAAAGGGCTCCCGGCCCTTCAGACTCAGCTTGTGCCAGGGCTTCGGGCGAGCCAGCAGGTCTGAGACAGAGCCTTGTGTCAGCCCCAGGATTGTCTCCCCAAACAAACGCTGACCTAATACGAAATTGAAAATGGCATGAATTCATTAAGAGACAAGGCAAGCTAAAAAGACAGACCACATCTACAAGATCATTCATCAATTATTCTTACTTCAAAATTGCTTGCAAACCCGAAAGAAAGATTGAGAAGCATAAAAGCTCTCCCCACCCACTAAAGGTGTAAATATTGAGCTTTAATTTAATCCTTAAAAGCTGGCATGACAAAGATGTGAACTCAACACCTCTGGGGATAAGGACCTCACAGTGGAAACAGTGTGCAAAACAACCCCAAAATTAATGAGATTAAAAATAAACCAAACTTTCAGCTCAGCAGGCAACCAGTGAGAGCAGTGAGGCTACTTAGCTCTTATGCAGGAGGTGCTGCAACAGCTTTGTTCCAGCAGGGCAATCCGAACATTTCAGGCTATCAGTGAACCAAAACCAATGCAGCACCCATTCAGCAACAGTCATCTAAATGTCCTCAAAGGCATGTAAATGCTTTCTGTGTTGTACTGGCTGTTGTGCTCTAACAGTGTTTTAGTGGCTGTGGATAATCACATTTTACAATATAACAGTTTTTCCTGTTTCTATAGCTTCTACAGTGCTTCTGGTTAATCATTACTTTTACTTCTTTTAAAATTCTATTGCCTAGCAGGGTAAAAACTAAAAATGGTTTTCAGTGTGAGGCATTTGTAAGCACATTAATAACACTAGTTTTACATGGTTAAGATCTCGCTTAGTGAGGACTGGAAAATGCCTGTGCAGCACAAGCCCAAACAGACAGCTGGTTTCCTAACAGCCTTCCCTTCAGCATTCTCCCTAAGCTAAGTTGCCCTAATACGCAACAGCTTTTGTTACAAGACAGAGCCTGGAGTCATCTGAGTCATTGCTGGGGATTTCTGATGGAAGTGAGGCTATCGCGGACTTGCAAGTTACCCAAACGTCTTCCTATCCCAATCAAGTTGAGGCCTCGAGGTCTGGTGTCTGATCATTGGCTTCTGAACCCCTCACTCCAGCACAAAGCAATAGCTACTTGCCAGCAGTATCAGCCAGTGGCAACCAGCAGATCCTTAGGGACAGGTAAAGGACCAACGAAAATATCAGGTCCACAGAGCCCTCCATGTGCCTGACTCCACGATCTCCCCTCTGCTTTACACCTCCCCCAAGACTTCTGGCTTTGTGAGTTCTTTCACTTCACAGGCTAAGAGGGAAGGAGGGAGCTGCAGCACATCCCATGTGGGTGGATTGGGGCAAGGCTTTGGAAGGCAGCAGCTGGGATCACGAAAGGTGCACAGGGAAGCAAGGATGGGGTTCAGAAGTGTCAGCTCACACCTCTAGAACAAACCCTCAAAATGGATCTTACAGACTGAACAGAAACCTAAGATCAGAACTTAATTTCCTAAGTGTCTTTCAACTTCCAACTCAACAACAGGAAAATCAGAAGAAAAGCTGTAATTCAGGACTAATTTTACATCTGCATTTCAGAGCTAATGTGCTCTCTCCCTTTACATTAAAAAAAAAATCATCAGGAAGAACTCATCAATTTACCTTTAAAACAGCTACTTTTGAGCCAAGACAGCTGCTTTAAACACCTTTTAATCTGCCTCTGCAAATGACTTCCCTCTGGCATTCCCACGCTCCCTAAGCACCAGCATGGGCACTGCAACCCACGCAGAGCTGTGCAGTCAGTGGGACCTGATGTGGGTCTCAGCAGCCCCCCAGGAGTGTAATGGCCACCTGTGACCCAGGCAGCTGCTGTGGCTTGCTGTGCAGCCACCAGGAAGGAATACTGGAATATAAACAAGGCAGGAATGAGCATCCCAGGGAAGGTACGAGCAATGCTGCTGAAGGAAATGACCTTCAGCTCATAGCCTAGAAATTAAAAATCCAGGGGAGGAGACAACATTGCATTCTTTAGGTGCTAAGGAAGAAGCTCAATGTTTGTGTCACTTATTGTATCCTAGGATACAGCAGAACAGCATAAAACACCTGAAAGACTCCTGAGCTAACGGAGAATGTATTAGAAACCACTCTCAGGAGGCAGCAGGTGTATCATACTCCATCTTCATCAGTGTTAATAACTTGAGTATTCTTAAGCACAGGCTTCCTGACATTTCTGTTAATTCTGTCTTTTTGTCTACTGCCTTTCTCACTGATGCAGCTCCTCATGGACACAACCTCCTGCCAGTTATGCCAGCTTCAGGGCTAGTTCTGGACCTCTGTGCAACATTCTGCAACACAGTGGGTATGGTGGTGATGGGCTGATGGTTGGACCTGGTGATCTTACAGGTCTTGTCCAACCTTAATGGCTCTATCATCCTACGATTCCCAATACTGCAATCTTCCAGCAGCTCACTGCATTCTCTTCCCTTGCTATCTAAGCTGGATGTTGACCAATAGAAATCCCTGATAATATGATCTTGGGGCTGAGTGGACTAGCAACATCCCAGTGTTAATGCTGTATCATCACTTGCTAAAATGGTGTCTGCTGCTTCAAGTGAATGCTTAAGAGTGAACGCTTAAAAATCATGGGATGGGAGACCCACCAAACTCAAGTCTGGTTTGCTGAGCCACCCTGAATGGTTTCACACAGTCGTGGTCTTTAGTGGCCAGTGGTGTTGGAACTGAGCCACCAGCAGTTGCCTAAGACAGGTTGGCAAGGCCCTGTGGCCTGAGACACAGAAAGCTGTGCACCAAGTCAATGTGGTGCAGGAGCACACTGAGGGCACAAAAGGAGACATTGAAACTGGTTCCACACCTAATGCAGAGTTTGGGGCACATTTCCTGGCTCTTCTGCTGCTTTTTAGGCTTGTCAGCCACACTGTAGGAAAACAAAAATCATGGGAAATAAAAAAGACTAAGTAAAAATGGCATCAAAGCAAATGTAAACAAAAATACTTTTTCAAACCTCCCTGGAACACCAGAGCAGGCACAGCACTCTACAGTATTTTGCTCAAAAAGCAGAGGCTTAAGCCTCTAAACTCTTACCTGTGGCTTTGTCTGTACATAGCTCCAGTGAACAAGCCACCACAGTTGTCCTATCCCAGTGTGAATGAGCAGTAATTCTGCTGGGTTCAGTGGAACACACTCTCATGCAGGGTATGCCCAGGATCAGGGCCTATTTTTTTTTTTCTTCCCCAATTACATTTAATGAGACTTTGCAACCTCCCCCACACCAGTAAAACCTAGAACAACACCTTGTATTCTGTGTCTAGCCAAAAAAAGGCTTCTTTATGTACTAAAATAAAGGAGTTTTTAGTGATACAGACATCGTGCTCAGATGATATGGATGTAATTCTTCTGACATAAATATCAGTAATCAAAACCTAAACTTATCTTTTAGGTTATACTTGTGAACAGTGGGAGATTGGCATCTCTGGAGAGTGATTTCTCTCCGTGATCTCAGACACCTCTTCTGAATCTCTCCATGCAGGTGGGATGGATACATGCTAAGCACAATGCACATGCAGGTAACTCTGGTGCAATCTGCCTGCCTTTCAGCTAGGAATTTCAGAGGATTCCTTCACGTTTCCCAGTGCCTTGTGAGGGAAGCAGTTGTTAAACAGGTACAAAGAACTGGGGATTCAGAGGCAATGTGGCAGAATTAAATGTGGATTTCACCTGCTCACGTGTGTTATTTCCTCTGACTATTCCAAATATTGTCAGTCATATCAATATTGCACTTAATTTGATACCCAAAACCTCATCTGCAGCAAAAGCAGCCTTTGCTTTGCATGTCTCAAAGCAGAACAACTGAACGACCCCATGTGGTTACCTAAGGATTCACATAAACCTCAACTGAGTCTGAATTTACCCTCCTAGCTCTAAGGCACACTACTTCCATGTGATGCACCTCTCTTTGCAATCACACTGCCCTCCTCTGCTCCTCTTTTGCCTGCCCTGCTGGAATGCTGAACCTACAAGCATGGGGAAATCTGCATTTCTCAAGTGGAGACCTCACTGGTTTTGGTCCTCTCAACAGCCTGCTGTATTTAGGGAGGTGGGACTGGTACCTGGCTGCTGAGCCAGAATCAGAGCTTATGGGCAGTGAGGGTAAGATAACATATTGTTAAGTAGATGTGACAATCCAGAAGGACTTCTTTACTGGCTAAAAAAAAAATCTTTAAAGGATGAAAGCCAAGGCCAGACTCAAAATCAAACGTTCTTGTCAACATCTACGAAAATACAGCTTAAAAACAACAGCACCAACACTTTATTTCAGTCAAGAAATGGGAATAAAGCGACTTACCAAGATTGTTGTCCGTTAGCACTTCCTTGACCCTTTTTGTAATGCCATACGTATCCAGCTCCGGGGACATAGCAACCAGCTCCTGGATGCTGAGTGCTGAGTGGCCTGACAGTGGCAAAGGGGCTGTGGACTGGGATTCTGAAGCAGGCGGCTCACTGGGCTCCTGGGATTTGCCATCCTTACTGGTCTCTATCGAAGGACAGGGCTGCTGTACCAATTCTGTCAAGCTTTTTACTGATTCGCTGGAACTCATGGGAGACTCGGGAGCAGGACTGCAACTGGCAGAAGTCTTTGGAGTGCTTTCTGTAATTAAAAAAAAGAAAGAAGTCCCCACTTCAGCATAATTGTAATGTTTTGATTGCAGGATATTTAACTTTCCTTCTCGTTTACATTCTACCTACCTAAAGAAATGCCTAAGTATGCAAAACACTTTTCCTTACAACTTGGTTACTGAACAGCCTTTTTTCAAACCAGAATTATTTTCTTAGTTTATCTTCAGCAATCTTTTCTTTCATATAAAAACAAGAATATACAAATAAAAATCAGGAATAAATGAAGTGCAATAGTTTGTATGGTTGCAAGGAATTCCCTTGGTCAGGAAATTTTCTAGCTTTGCTTTCACAACATTGCTGTCTAACAACAAATTTAATACACAATTACAGAGGTTTAACCTCCTTCTATGACCTATAAGAAAATCACCACTATGTGGTCGTGTTCATGGGGGATTTTCTACAACTGACACAGCTTTGTATCTTGAGAGTGTTATAGATTTCATATTGTTTCTTATCACTCACATCACATTTTTGCACCTCTCTTTGCCCAGGAATAACTTAACACAATTAAAATACGGTTTGCAATTATGTCGTATTAATTAATGTGTTTGAGAATCCAACATAAAGATGGTGAGTGGATCAGGAGACAACCAAATCTGTTATTTTGACACTTTGAAAGAAAGCTTTTTGAATCTGTTAATTTGCCAACAACAATAGTTTCTGTGCAAAATGCTGTTCTCCCTATGAAAGCTCACGATTATTTCTAATACAACGCCTCCATCGTGCGGAGATGAGACCCCAAATCCTATTCTTTACAACAGGGCTGTGCTTTCTGAGCACTGCACCACTACAGTGGCAGCCACCTCTATGAGCTGATGGTTAACACCAGATTTCACCATTTCTCACTGTCCACAACACTACCAAATCCTCACAGTCTATCTGGGCTCCGTGGACAGGAGCTCAGGCAGTGTGGGAAGCACATCCTCAGCACTACAGGAAATGCTGGGTAAGTTCAAGTAGGGTTCAGTCGGCGCAGGGTTGACAGCACAATCGTGTTGTTCAAGGCAACAGAAGCTTCCAGGACTCTGCAATTTAAGAGAGGTTCCCTGACACACTTACAGAAAGTTGTCTCTCAAACGCAGAGCTTTTACTTAGCGCTTTGTGAGAGATGCAAAACAGGCAGGCATAAAGAGAAAGCAAGGTGCATATAAATCTTTAAGGCACGAGGGATCTTGCAAATCTTATTTCTTCTCTCTGTTCACCCCGGGTCATCATACAACTGAATATAAAACCCAGCAAATGTTATTTTTGTATCGAGAGCAGCAAAGGAATTGTACTGTAAATTTGCCCTGATTCACCCATGCGAGGGACCAATTTGGCAGATCATCCATCTTGTTCACTGTACACTGTCAGGGATGGCATGAATTCCCTACATGATAAACAGATTTCTTCTCAGGTCTGCGTCCTTTAACCCACAGCAAGGTCAAAATTATGGCTGCCTGGCTAATAAACAGCGCGCCACTCGCTCAACTTCCCTCTAATTTTGTCCCTTGTGCCAGCTTACACAAATCTTACTGAATAACTAGAGCAGCTGCAAATTTCCTATACAATTCCTCATCCGTGCACTGCAAAGCACACGCAAGCACGGAGTGCAGAAAAATCCCAAATAAAAAACCACCCAACACCCATGCAGGAGTCAACAAAGCGTTCCGTAATGCCGCCTCCTCCCTCTCCTTCCCTGCCCAGCCTAATTATGTAAACAACAGAGGTAATCTCTGCCATCATCTATCACCGCGATGCTCGATGTTGCTCACATATTAGCTTATTTATTTTTTATATCACATATCAAGAGCTTGCTTGAATTTCATTTTTAAGACCAATCTGCTGCTTATTTACTCAAAAAGGTAGGATTACGTGGATCTAATTTTGGAAGGCAGTACAGATGACAAACTGTTTTTTTCCTCCCAACGAAAGGCAAGTGCAGAATGGTTCCAATGAGACATTATGTGCATAAACCACAAATAACTCCAAATATGTTCCCCATTCACTTCTGGAGCTTTTCCATTATGGAAAAAAACATTTTAAATGTGATACAAATATTGGAGGAAAAGGTCCATTATTTGGAAAAGTCAATTCGATAATCGAATAATGCAAACATTTCCCGTTAACCTATTAAAAAATTAAGTAGACATTCAGAGTACAAGTGATTGCCGACAGAACAAAGGGAAAATTGGATGTGTTCACTATTACGAATTAAACTGTCAATCTACAGTCATTTCAGATGTTTTATGAAATAATTTGTCTGTATTCATTTCTCCCAAGTTCCTCACAGGACAACGAAACAAATTCAGGACACGTGACAAATACACACCGAGATTCAAAATCAAACATTTCTGATCAAAATAAGAGAGTGCATTTCTTTAAATCCTGTTCTGTTTCCCTAACCCCACTCTTCACCAAAAAACAGCCCTAATTTAAGGGTGACCCAGTTCGTATGTGAGCCATTCCCTGCATTTGTACAGCTCTCCCCACGCTAACTTGGAGGAATGATGGTGTCTGACTGGGCCCAAGGATGGCAATGAGACACAGTTCAACAAGGGCATTTAAAACAATTAAGAGCTTGTTGTAACTTTTGCATATCTACAGGTTGATACTGATAAGTGCCATTAAGGATTCAAATGCCCCACAGACACATTTAGGTGATGCAAATCTTCTAAAGCTGCAAATACAACCCAGTCACGGAAGGCCAACGCCATGGCCTTCTTATGTTACTCATTCAGAATTCATTTTGGGGTATAGGGAAGTTAGGCATTACCAAGCCGTTCTTAAAAGCACATTCGTACGTGCAAATAACCAATAATCAGATGCAGGTCAAGCAGGGGGCTGACATCCAACATCAGAAACACTTGACAAGAGTGACTGGCCTCCATCCATAGCGAAAACAGAACAACTACTGGACATCAACACCAAGTAAGAGGTGCTGATGGGGGGCCTTCAAGTCTCTGAAGGTGAGTATGTCTTCATGAAGAGAAACACATCTGATTTAGTCTGGTGGAACCAGAGTGCATTAGTTGGGCAGACAGCACTGCTGGTAAAACATACAATCCTTATTCTCATGTCAGGAAATTCTTCACTTTCTTCCTTCTAGAGCCCTAGAGAGGGACACAGAATCTAAAATAAAGGTAAATGAATGACTAGAAACAAGGTCAGCACGATACAAACACCTCCCAATTTTGTTTTCTTTCTAAACACTACTTTCCAAATATAGAATTGCTTCTTGAATAACCATCCTACTGCAACAAAAGCCAGCACCACATTACAGCTTGCCCACCTGCTTCATCCCTATCAGGAAACTGCACGCAACTTAATGTATGAGTAGGGCCTGTTGGAGCTCCTGCAGAACTGGATGAGAACTGTAACAAAGTGGCTTTGTCTTAATTATATCAATGCAGAAAAATCTGGTGTGGTCTTGCACCGCTCACAGCAATAGCCTCGGTTCCATCCGTTCTCTCTATACCTTCATCAGTTTCTATCATGATGGTGTTTGGAAAAGTGAGACAGCCTAAGACGGTCTCAGGTCATTACTTATGGTGTTTATCCAAACTTTAACATTAGATTCTCCTGTTCTTCTCCGATGACAAGATTTACCATTCTCAAGCTGGGTTCAGATCTCCCGCACCAACTGCTGAATTGCCTGAACACTGTCTGTAAATGCTTTGGACTATGATTATCCCACCAAGGCCCATTCTGGTGATGCACAGCAACTCCTCCACCTGCAGAACACAACTTCTCCACCACAGCCTCTGCACAGAAGCAGCAGGATAGCCTGCACCCACACAGCACACACGTCCATACAGAGCATCCTGTCCTTTGTCTGCCCAGGAACTGCTGCACTGCTAACGTGAGCTCAGCCAATGGGCTTCAAAGTGACTCAGGGGAAACAAGGTGTGGAGCACAGAGAAGTTGGGGAAGATCATGCGAAACGCAGAAGGCATTTAGGGACCTCTAAAAGGATTATGAAAAATACTATATCTAAAGACAGCAGGCAGACAACAGCTGCCTTAAGTTTCGGGGAGAAGTGGATTGGAAAAGCAGATCCACTGTAATTTTCAGAGACAAATCTCTGTAGTTTATCTGATCCACTATTTAAATTTCAATACAGAGTCCTCTATCTGCAGTAATAATAACCTAAATTCCATTTAGTGTTCATTTGAGCAGTCAGGATAAAGTCATTTCTTATTATCTCCCCACTGTGTAAAAAACAGCTTGAAGGTAGGAAGTCAGCAAGCATTTTCACCAAAAAGTAATTATTGTAAGTGACATTTTTACTGCTGGCATGCCATAAGGCGAACTGCGCATTTGGAAGGACAAGTTGCTAAAACAAAATGACAGGGTACTCCGTGACATTCCGACAGGAACCCAAACATGATTTATCCAGCACTCGCTTTGATGCTCCGCTTCTCCCGCTGTCCGCAGCCCAGGCTCCGGGTCTGTGCCATCCAACCCCGACTTGTTCCCCAGGAACAGCAGGAGTGGTGCTGTGCCAGCAGGGCAGTGAGCACCCCGTGCTCTGCTCCCTTCTCTATGGCGAATTCGTACAGAAGATGAAAGCAGACAGATACAGATAGGAGATTTCTTGGCAAACTCTTGAAAGAGCATTTGATACTTCAGGGTGAGCCCTCACCTACTTGTACAGATGAGTTAATGGACAACAGCAGCCCTGGCAGGTCGCCTGAGATCCCAGTATCTCACGCTGGGAGGGGGTTAGGTTCTGTTTCCCCTGTTTCCAGCTACTGAGCTGCCCAGTCTGCAAACCAAAAACTTGTTATTGTATTTGCCAGCATCTGGAAATCCCAGGCAGAGCTTTTGCTCCCCATCTCCCACCTAACGGTAACCCTTGTAAAGCACACAGCAGCTCTTCCCATTAACAGAGCACAGGTTTGCTCTCTAATAAATCAGATCAGCATTTGTGGAGCAACGCTGCAATACATCCCTCTTCTGACTAATTAAACAAAAACATCCCTGAATGCT